TTTTCCAGCTTTCTCGCTTTTCAGGGACGTTTCTTTCGTTCGAAGGCAAAAAAAGAGAGACGGAGAGACAAAGAGACAAACAAACGAAGAGAGAGAGAGAGAGAGAGAGAGAGAGAGAAAGAGAAATAGAAAGAGACAGACAGAAAAAATAGAAGAAAAGAGAAGAAGGGAACAAATGGAGGAGATGGACTGCGAGGACGAAGACATTTTCTTTTATAAAAAGGCATTTCTTCTTGTCGTCGACGTACGCGAGTCCTATTTTATTCTCCTAATGAAATTTCATTTCTATTGGAATACCAACGGGATCGTATGATTTACTTCGACTCATAAAAAATTCGATGACCCAAGTCATCGACAATTTTCATTTCGTCAATATAGTCGAAATGGGATATCCGCTTTTTTTTCCCATCCATCCTTCCTTCCTTCCTTTCTTTTCTTTTTTTTCTTTCTTCCTTTTCCATATTTTCCATTTTGTTTTTAATATATTTCATAGATAATACGATGATAATACATTGTCGCTTATCAATCGATCATTTTAATCTCGATATTACTAAAAAACATGAAAGAAAATCACTCAGTTTTTTTTCCCTCTTCCCTATTAAAATTCTAACGAAAACAAACATAATCCTCTCTCTCTCTCTCTCTCTCTCTCTCTCTCTCTCTCTCTCTCTCTCTCTCTCTCTCTCTCTTTCTCTGTATCTCTATCTTGATTTTTCTTTTTCATATATACACACACACACACACACACACACAGATATATATATATATACGTACAAACAGACACACTTCATATTTATTCTAGTCAAAATTTATCTCATGCGACAAAAAGTACTATGAAAAATCGGTCAGGGAGTGGGAAATATTACGATTTCGTACGTGTTCGTACGTTTTCACGAAAAATCCTGAAAGGAGAATGAAGGGGAGAGATTGAGGACGGAGGATGAAAAGACGTTGTATCCTGGGACGAAGAAAATATCAAAAGAGAGCAAGCAAGCGAGAGAGAGAGAGAGAGAGAGAGAGAGAGAAATGGTCATACGTATTTCTCGTAGCCCCGGGTAATACTCGTAGTATAAAAATGTTGATTTTCTGTGTCACCGAATCACACACTCAGCTTCTATATATTTTCGAGGACCTTCGAACGTTCGCCCTTTCCTTTCCTTTCCTTTCCTTTTCCTTATTTGCATCTTCCTCACTTTTCTCCCCCTCTATCACTCTTCCTTCCTTCTCTTCTCTTCTCTTCTCTCCTCTCCTATTCCTATATTACCCATCACCATCACTATCATCCCCCCCACTCTTCCGTTCTCCGTCTTCTTCCCATTCCTCGAAGCATAAGGATACTGGTAATCCAAAATCCAATCTCCGATGTTTATTCCCCTTCGAAGGATCGGTAAGGATCAACGAAAAGAAGATCGAGCAAGGGGATATGGTACGGACGTTTTCTTTGCTTCTACGTCGTTGCTTTCTTCATTCTTAACTTTCTTCACTAGTAATTCTAAAACGCTAAAGCATGACTTTCGAATGAAGCAACGAATGAGAACTTCTTCCCGAACGAATAAGAGATAAATAGATAGATAGATAGATAGATAGATAGATAGATAGATAGATATAGATATTTACTTTGTTTGCAAAAGTCAAACTAAATCGATAATTTACTCCCTCTTGTTTATAAGATGTTTCGAGAGAATTACGAATAATTATTTGTAAAATAATTATTCTGTGTGATATAATTATGTACTAAAGAAAAGAAAAAGAAAAAAGGAGAAGAGAAAAAAAAGCAAAGAGAAAAAAGATAACAAAAGAAAGGAATTAATTCACGTGAATTAACACGTCCAATGAACGTTAGTGTATCTATCGGAAATGTAATTTCTTCGATAATTTTATCCTCGAAAACAAAGCACTATATTTTCTTATTCCTTTCGTGATAAAATGTTTCCAAAGAATATACGAATAATTCTGTCTGAAATAATTATTTGCAAAATGAAAAAGGATAAGAAAAGAAAGAAATTAATCCACGTGAATTAAGTTTAATGATCGTTGGATCTACCGGAAATGTAATTTCTTCGATCATTATATCCTCGAAAACAAAGCACGATATTTTCTTATTCCCTTCGTAATATTTTCAGATAATTACGAATAATTAATTATGCGTGACATAATGATTTGAAAGAGAAAAAAAGAAGATACTGTTAAAATACTGACAATGTATCGTAATGTCTTCGATCGAATTAGTTGATAATAATAAATCATTAATGAGCTCGATACTTTTTACTTGTGATAAGAAATTAAAAACAATTATATTCAATATTAGATGAATAATAAATAATGAAATAATTTATTTTCTAAGGGAAAAGAAAAGAAAAAAAAAAAAAGAAAAAAAAAAAAAGAAGAAGAAGAAGAAAAATATCTACGAGAATAAAATCTACGATCTTTTATATCTAACGATAAAAATAATTCATTCGATTTGTTAAATGTTAAAAATAATAATTAAATGATATCATTCGTTATCTTAACGAAATCTAATAAACAAATTGAGAACGATTTAACATTAAAGAGAATACGTCACGAAAGAAAGACCTTCCAAATATTCTGGCGTATCTATTGTTTCGTATGTGTTTGAACGTAACGCGTGGATTCATTTGCATAAGAGATGAGAAACTTCCATGTGAGAAATCCTAAGGGGGATAGAAATGAGGTCACGATTTTAGATTTCAAATTGTTTGAAAAAAAAAATGGAAAAGAAAAGGACGAAAGAGAAAGAAAAGATAAAGATAGAAATACAAGAAAAAAAAAAAGAGAAAGAAGAAGAGCGAAAAAAAAAAAGAAAACGATAATTAAAAACCCAGAGGAAAAATTTAATCGGCAACATCCCCTCACACTCGACTTATTGTAATCGAATTATTTCATGTGTTTTCAGTCGTAAACATTCGAGTATATAACCTTATATAATATACATGTATATATTTATATATATATATATATATATATATATAAAATACATAGGTATGTAGAGATATATATAAGGATATATTTAAGCGTTCCTCCGATACTTTCCTCACGGAGGAGTGGCGCGAACGTTCGTGATGCATCGGTGCATACCTAAACTGCATAAAATAGCTACTAACATATAGGCATCCTCATAGTCCAGTGCGCGACGAAATATTCTCCCAGCGAAGCTTCACATGGAATTTCGCTCGAATACAATTTTGCCCGCGTATTACGTCTATCGAGAAGTAAAAGAGAATAAAAATGAAACAGCATGGCATATTATCACCACTTTGCATAGATATATATCTACATATATATATATATATATATATATATATATATATATATACATACATATACAGTGTAGATATATACATATATATAGCTATGTATATGAAATTTGTATATAATCCTTAATATTTATCTGATCAATGAAGTATACTTATTATATATTTTGTATTTTATTTTATAGGAATTATATACATACGTATACATACATATAGATGAGTATAATCGTTAAAGAAAGAAATCTTTTTCTTCTTCTTCTTTTTTTTTTCTTTTTTTTTTTTTATTATAATAATTCCGTTAAAAAATGCGAAGAATTAAATAAAACCGAACGCAATTACGTTCATGTCTGGGTGAAACGTAATCCGTAGACTGCTCTCTCGAGGATTCTCACGCTAATGAAATTCTTGAAAGCGTTGTCTGTATTGTAGAGAAAAGTCTGCTTTAAAAGACAAACGAAAAGATTAAAAAAAAAAAAAAAAAAAAAAAAAAGAAAAAAAAAATAGAGAAGAAAAAAAGAAAAAGAAAAAGAAAGAAGGGGGAAAAAATTCGAGAGAATTAATACTGAGGGATGAAAAATGTTGAAGGAAAATTAGTATTATATATACATACATATGTGTATACATATGTACATTCACACACACGCACGCACATATATATGTATATACACGTATATATATATTTCTTCTTTTTTTTTTTCTTCCTTTTTTGCTTTTCAATTTTTCGTAAAAGAAAAATATTACTTCGTTTCGTCTGGCCAATAATTTTTTATCTTTTGTTTGAAAACGTTTGAAAATAACACAGAGTAATCGTAAGAGAATAGTGAAAGTTTTTATGTCCTAAAAACTTTGAATATACTACGATTAAGCTTAACACGAAACGCACGAAGTAACACGCGACCGCCAGGGTCTTGTTCATTGATGTCTTTATTATTCAACGTGCATATCAAGCTCATGCTGAACGCAGCAGGAAAACTGCAAAACTTTCTTCGTTTCGTTGGATACTTCGCCGTTAATTCAAAGTTACGTGTTAAAGAAATTAAAAAAAAAAAAAAAAAAACAAAAGAAAAGAAAAAAGAAAAAGAAAAAGAAAAGAGAAAAAATGGAACGACATTTCCGAGTCCACGAACGAGCATCAAACGTATTAATCAAGAGGAAAATAAAGTCATTAATTAGTAATTGATGGTCGTACCATCAATTTGAAATATCTCTATAAAACTAATCGTTAACTTTTACGACTTAATCAACTGGATATTTCTGAAGAATCTTGAATGGTCCTTTCGGCACGATTCAACGTATCAAAAATCATACCAAACGATTGCCACTTGATTTTCAATTTCAACGAATATCCACGCAACTATCGATAATAGTACATTTTTATATTGACCAATAAGAATGATAGTTAACAAATTTTCAATTGATCGTAAATTTGAGTCGAGTTGAAATAATAATTGTAATTGACGACCCGTTGATATTTGCAATTTATAAACAACGATATGACAACACCGTGGATGATCTATTAATGAAAGAAAAAGAAAACAAAAAAAGTATGTTCTTTTTATTATTTACATTTTTTTTCTTTCCTTCTCTTTTTTTTTTCTTTTTTTTTTTTTTCGTCGCCAAAGTCATCGCCACGAACTTCTTGAACATAAGCGCGCGCGTAATTTTGAATCAAATATCGAAAATAAAAGAAATATTCCGTTCGATTCGTCCTATGAGAAATATACTCACCGATCGGTAGGACGATGCCAGTGACGATAGATAGAACACAGAGGATCCTCTTTAATCTGAAACTTCTCCGATCGCACATGGCGCGCGACTCGCCGCGTCCTTTGTCGTCGTCCGTACGTTTTCAAACGCCCGAGCCGTATCGCGCGGCCACTCGCGTGACTCTGAGTGTTCGGTCGTTTAGATTTCGAGTTTGAATCTCGGCCGGTCTATCTCCCTCTTTCTCGATGCATCTCGGTTACGACTCGCGACGGCCATGCGCGTCGACAGCATCCAAACGCGGGTCCAACGGGTGAGAGCGCCTGCTCAACGTCTACCATCCTGACGCGAATACCTTTCATATTTGGCGCCACCTACGCGTTTTCTCGAAATTACCGATTCGACTTATCCACTGAAATTTGATAATAAACGATTAATTATTTTCTTAGAGATTTCTATTATACCGACGCGTTCTACTTTCTCGACGTGATCGGTAACGCAGGTTACTGAAACGAATGGTAAATGATGAAGGGTAGAAAAGACGACCCCTTTAACTTTGAACTTTCATACGAACGATATGAACTTTCTATTTCTTCCGGAAAACGGAAATCAAAATAACGAGAGTAGAACGATTCCTCTCTCTCTTCCCCGCCGAGCCCCACTCTCTCTTCGAATTAATCCACGTATTTCAATTTTCCCCATTTTAACAGATTTCGAATCGAACAGATTTAGATAAAATAGTATACATACGAGGGAATATTACGTCATTGATAAAGAAAGAGAGAGTTAGAGATAGAGAGAGAAAGAAAAAGAGAGAAATTTGGAAACACATAATTTTTAATACATGATTTCGATTATCGCTTGATTATTCAATCATCAAATTTTCTATGTTCACGTTAAACGAGTTAAACGGGACCACCAATCATGTCGTAGCCGGTAAGAACGACGGTAAAATTCTCTGTCTTCTTTGGAACACGAGAGATTTTCGATCGGTTACAAAAAAAAAAAAAGAAAAACGATAGCATATCGTTGCGCTTTTTATGTCTGAAAAAATATAAACACATCGAGAATTAAATTAGCGCATTGAACGATCTGAAATTATTCTAAACTCGTCGCACTGTTATGGTCGATCGATACTCTCGGTAGATACTTAATTCGTAAAACGTCCTGTCATCCGATGAATTATCAAATCTATGATGGAACTTAAATTTATGTGAAAAGTTACAAGGAATCGTATCGATCTTTCGATCTTTCTCCTTTAGAAAGAAAAAGTAAGAAAGAAAAAGTAAGAAAGGAAAAAAGAAAGGAGGAAAGAAAAAAAGAAAGAAAAGAAAAAACAAAAAGGGAAAGAAAGACAGAGAGAAAGAGAGAGAGAGAGAGAGAGAGAAACATAGAGAAAATAACTCTCCGTATAAAATAGTCTTGCTCGAGCTGGACACGAGGCAAGCCTAGCTCTCGCGTGCACCTTCAGGAAACTCCATTTATCGATCCTCCGATTCGCTTTCGCGCTTTCAAAGAACGAACGCGAACGGAACGACGCAAGCTCGTGCCGAACGAGAGGAGAGCTTTCCTAGTGCGATTGGTGGGGTGCTTTTATATGTTGCTTGTATCAGTGTGTGTTGAAAAGAGCGAGAGAGAGAGAGAGAGAGAGAGAGAGAGAGAAAAAGAGATAGGAAGATATATACGCGTATATACATCTTTCCCTCTTCATCTTTACCACCTCGTTTTACCTCCCTCTTTCGAGTAGCCCGCGCTCAACGTTACGTTTCATTTCGTTTCCTCGAGATACTCTACCATAGATATCTCCACTTCCTCACCTTCACTTCGTCATCATCACCTTATTAAATAGATTTTCCGTTGCCGTCATCATACGGCGGCTACGTAAATATAGATTACGCGCATTGAAAGAGTACGTATTTCCGGCATCCAAATAGGTGCGAGGTAATCTATACGATATCATGCCGGAAAAGATGAGCGATCAAGAGGATCTGGAATACTGCATAATGTTCCCGTCCTTTCCACCATCGCCGAAGGATCCAACGACGTTGACATCTTCGACGAATAATGGACAGGATCATAAGGAGGAATTCGTCTTCGTTTATGAAGAGGACAAACGGCCACTTGTCGTTTTACTTGGATGGGCTGGCTGTCAAGACAGATATTTGGCTAAATACAGTGCTATCTATAAGGAAAAGAGGTAGGATACTTTTGAACGTAACCTCGTGTCTCTCACACTTTCTCTCTCTCTCTCTCTCTCTCTCTCTCTCTCTCTCTCTCTCTCTCTCTCTCTCTCTCTCTCTTTATCTATCTATCTATCTATCTATCATTCGCTTACTCATACCCTGTCATTAGAATTTCAAGGTCAGCATCGTGATTCAACAATTAGATAGATACTTTATTCGCTGTAAGATTTTCATCGCTGTGATTTATTAAAAAAGAAACAAAAAAAAAAGAAAGAAAAGAAACAGAAGGAATCTTCATCTTTTATTTCCTTCATAAAAAATATTTCGTTCGATAAAAATTTTGATTATAATTTTCACGTTTAAATAGCACGGCAGTCGATGATGTTTTACGTTTCTAGTCGACGATTATCGACCGCACGTTTCTGCCGGCTTTCCACAGATGCTGTTCACCTGACTAGGACCGGTTTTTGGTTTTTTTCTTTTTCTTTTTATTTTTTTTTTTTTTGTTTTTTTTTATTTCTTTATTTTTTTTTTATATCACTCATCTCCCTTCTTCCATCTGCTTTAAGTTTTATTTCGTCGTCGGCGAAGGTCCATAACGATTGCCTTGATTTGTTTTTTTTTCTTTTTTTTTTTTTTTTTAAAGCACCTTACTCTAGACATATTGGCAGCTTTAAATATTGGCTGATGCAATCGATCAGTATGTACACGTGTCAGCGATAATAGTTATTAATTAATACCTTGTATGCGAAACATGTATGTATATATATATATATATTCGCGTGTTAACTTACGTGCTGCGGTCTGTCTGTCTATTTTTGGCGGGGATTGGGTGGGGGATTTTCTAAAGTACAATTGACATCGTTAAAAATCTCACGTAAAAACTTGATTTGATAGTTGCATTTAAATTAAAATAGTTTGAGATGTTTCTTGCTATAAGTGGGAAAAAAAAAGAAAAAAAAAAAAAAGAAAGAAAGAAAGAAAGAAAAACGATAAAAATGTAAAAAAAAAAAAGAACTCCAGAGATTAATTAAAAGCGAAATTTTTCGGGATTGGCCATAGATAAGGGATTGTAAAGATAACAATGAAATATATCCGTCGTTCGGGTATATAACGTTTTAACGATAATAAGTAAAACGTCAATATTATTTGTATACGTTTGAATAAATATTTTCATTAAAATCATAATTAATATCATAGTATTAAATGATTTGCAGTTGCATCACTCTTCGTTACACGGCACCGATGGAATGTCTATTTGGACGAAGAAATAAAATGCCTTATATAGGCAAACGATTATTACAGGTGATCGCTAAAAACAGTCTGAACGATCATCCGATATTCTTTCATATATTCAGCAATGGTGGAGCTTTGCTTTATCAACACATCAGTATCGCGATGCAACAAATGGATTCACCGATACAAGTAACGAAACATCATTTTTTTCCTAGATCGTAATCTTCTTTTATTTTACTTTCTTTTTTCTTTCCATTTTATTTTTTTTTTCTCAAGTCCGAGTATATATTATTCACTTCAATATATAATATATTGAATCATTATAATTCATTGTTAATATTATTCCTCAGTCGCAAGTGAAGGGTGTGATCTTTGACAGTGCACCAGGTGAAAGAAGAGTTACATCCCTGTTCAAAGCTATCAGTGCTATCATCGGTGGACATCCTCTGACGAATATACCGATGTCCTTCTTCATTACAATCTTCCTATCAATGTTCTGGTTCTTTGAGGTTATTACTTTTTTACTTATGTATCTATTTATTTTATAACGATACATCTAATTCTTCATTTACGCGATAGATTTGTTCCGGAAGTGAAAAAAAAGAATACCGAAAACAAAAAAAAAAAAAATAGAAGGACGCATCCAAATATTGTGAAAAGCCAATACGAGCGATAAATTGTTTTCGAGACGAAAAAAGAAAAGTATGAAAATCACTGAATAAAATTTTAGTCTATTTTTAATGGAATTGGTTTTTTTTTCTCTTCTTCTTTTTTTTTTGTTTTTTTTTTTTTCAAACACTTTATATTTAAAGTAAAGACGTATATTTCTCAAAGAAAATAACGTCATGTGTCATTCATAATATCGAAATATTATAACATCTAAGAATAGAATCGTTTTTTTTCTTTTTTAAAACGTGAAAAGAGAAGAATAAAAAAGAATCGTGTAAAAAGAGAATTAAATGTAAATTAATTAAGATATGATCGATTGATGAAGATTTTCTAAATCCTGATCGATAAATATACTTACACGTTTCTCTTTCTTTTTTTGTTGATTTTTTTTTTCTTTCTCTTTTTTTTTTTTTACAGGTTATCGCTCATGCACTTGGACGAGGTTTCACCATTCAATCTAATCCGTTCGCACTGATGGAAGAATCCTATTCTTGGCCGCAACTCTTTCTTTACTCGAACACCGACACATTGATTCCAGCTGCCGTTAGTTGATCAGAATATTCTTTAAATCAAATGTAAAAACAGCTGACGCGTTCGCTAACATTTTATTAAATCGAAATTATTCGTGTTTCATTAACAACTAAACAATTAAATAACTTTTTGGAATCTGCAGAAATATACATTTTTTTTTTTTTTTATATTAATTGTAATCCATATAAAAAGGGAAAAAAGAAAACATCGAGCATAATTGTGTAATCAATACGAAACATAATTAATTGACGCATTTTTTCTTTTCTTTTTTTTTCTTTTTTTTTTTTTCTATTCAAATCATCCAGTCAGCTAAAATGTTAACTCTTTTAATTCGTTAATGACGGACGACTAAACGATAAAATACTTATGTCACCACAGATATGACAATAATAATCATCAGGCATTTATTTGATCATATTTTACGATTAATTATTTTGATTTATTAATTTAATATCGTTGCATCGACAGGGACGACAAATAATTTTCATTCTCGTATCTCTTTCAAGCGTCAAATTCAGATGCAATGACGTTGGTTAAAAAAGAAACGAAAAAAAAGATATGAAAGAAAAAGAAAAAGAAAAAAAAAAAAAGATAAAAGTAGAGTTCAAACGGATTAATAGATTTTAAATCAA